GTTTCTGCTGGAATGATAGCATGCAAAGATATTATAGTAATAGCATTAACCTCACATCCTGATGCATATACGCCACTGCTTCTCTTTAGATACACAGTTATCTATATAGATCTCTGTATACAAGCACCTTTCAGTTCATAGTTTACCATGATGCTGTATACCCTGCACGTCTGCACTGGCTCACAAATATGGAAGTAGCATGTGTTTCTGTATTTTCAGCAATTTTGCCCGAAATCCAAAAAAGTGTTGGCTGGTATGTAGTCTATCAAGAAATTGTTTAATGACAAAGATTTAAAGGCGAGAGGAAAACAAAAAGGAAAAACCAGCTGTAATTTTTGACAAAAAAATAACGGAAAATGGGAGCAGTTGAACTAAAATGTTGTTTGTATAAATTGCGTACGAGAGCAGACAAACAAAAAACAGCTGAAATTTAAAAACTTGTCTTTAGTAAAATTACTATAAAAAGTACTTTATAGAGGCTTGTTAGGCCTCCCAAAAATATACGGTTGCATGTTGCACTACTCAAAAAATCTTTAAACCAGCAAATTGTTAAAAAAAACGTAATTTTATTATAGAAAAAAAAAAAAAACGCAATCAATATATTATTTAAGTGCGAGTATTTTTGTAAAAAAAAAAATTTAGGTCAATTTACTTGTTTTTAGTTTATTTTGGAATACAAGAAAATTGACTACCTACATACAAGTATATTTTGATGGTTTTATTCATTTTTTTGCAATTTTTAAAAACAATTTGAAAATCTTAGCAATTTGTTGCGGCAGCAGCAGCCCAAAAGAAGTCTTTGTGTATTACATACAAAAAAACTCTGGCGCAATAAACAATTTTGCGTGTTTTGATTTTTATTTTTTTCAAAAATTTTAAATTGATTGAGTCTTTATTATAATTTATCACACGCAGATTGTTTAAGGCACCCTACAGGCAATACTTTTTATATATTTTCATAAGGAAACAAAAGCTAATTTCTAAATTTTGAAAATTTTATTATATTGTGTATTGGTGTGTTTTAAAACTGCATTGGAGAGCGGCCCTTGAAAATCTTGTTTTTCCGTAGTAATCTACTTGATTCTATCCTACCTCATTTTGTACCACTGTTTATGGTAGACCCAGCTCTATAACAATTATCTTGCCTTAATTACATGTTTATGAACAAGTTAAAACATATAAATATCTTTCATTAAATTTAAAATGTTTTGACATGAATGCTTACAATGAAAGTTTAATGAACTTTAAAAATAATTATTAATATTTTCTTGTTATTTTTTTTAAACAATTTTAAACTCATTCATTTATTAGAAAATTAAACACAAAACCTATTACTAAATTTCATTTAATTGTATTTTTTTAATAAATGTTTAAACAAACAACTTGAAAACTGTGTTAACTCTAATTTTGACACCCACCATTTCTATGTACGTTTGTATAATTGATTTTTGGTGTGTAATTATTTATATTATTTGTTAAAATTTCTTTTTTTTAAGTTTGTTATGGCTCATTATGTTTATTTTACTTTCATTACTTTCTTTCTCGTTATTCATTTATTTGCACGCAAGATTTTGTTCTGTCAAACAAAAGACTTAAAAAACGAACTTTTTAGAAGCGAACTAATTAAATATTAACCTTTGGTGGTTGGCCCATTAAAGTATACTTAACAGATTTAGTCATGCCTAACTATTAAAGACTAGTGAAATGAAGTTTACCATATAAGGTGTTTCTGATATTGAAAATGAAAAATTTGATCCATGACTTTATTTAGAATCCATACAAAATGGCTTCCGCTTAATTATACATAGGCCTCTATCGGGCCTGTTGTACCTAAACTTCTTTATATGGAAAACTCAGTTTCCTTAGAATATTTCAATCGGTGTCCTGTAATATCTGGAATAACATAGCGTCTAAGATATATGGATCTTATTTCGACCAAAGCCTGTCAATAACAAAGATATTGTTGCAGATTATTACTGTCCACTCCTCATGCTCTACATTCGTTTGAATCCGTTTGTCCAATCTTGTATAATTAATCATATACATATGTCTACTCAGAATACATACCATTATACTAACCTTGGACAGGCTCATTCTTATGAGACTTCTTACCCTGCTCTCGTTACTCTACCGAGTTCATCATTATTCCAACGCATGGGCGGTTGAATGGAGAAGCCGGTATACATCCTATTAAAGTATTCTCTGGGCATGACCTGATACAAGCAAATAACGGTAATCAACCAACATTTTTGGCTAGGAGAACAAGCTCGATAGTTGATCTTACCTTTGTGAGCAACTCTTTGGCTACATTCGTAGAATGGAAAATTGGTGACCTGTACACCCACAGCGACCACCAAGCAATTCTATTTTCAATAAATAGCAGTGAGGTACCAACAAATGCAGTTAAAAGAAGTGATGTTAGGTTCCTTGGCTGGACCTCTGAAAAGATATTTATAGAGGAGGTATCGCTTGGAATATAAGTTGCAAGCTCGAAGAGAAGAAAGCCACAAAGGGAGATGGGCCTATAAACTTATACCAAAGATAAAAGAGTGGATAAATAGAAAACACGGTCAATTATTACCAAATGCAATTTCTGTCCAGACATGCGAGGCTATAGAAGCTACCTTTACAGGTTTGGAATAGATGAATCACCAACGTGCCCACAATGTCCAAACAAAGAGTAAGACCGCGAACATGTAATGTTTTATTGCTCTCGGTTTAACGAAGACAAGAGACAGAAAGGTTCATTGGAGAACAACTGAGCACACGTAATATTGTAGACATATTACTAAGCAAAAAAGAGAAGTGGGAAACCATCTGCAGCATGGTAAAAGGAATACACCAAAAACTAATGATAGAAGCAGAAAGAAGGAAAGCTTCACAGCATTCGATAGAGGCTAGATAAGCCTTTCTGGCCCTGCGACGCAATATCCTGAATAATAGTCCCGCAGGGTGTATGAATGACAAGGGAGTTGCTTTAGTCGGAAACCGACATAACACGAGTATCACATGCAAAATTTACACCTGCCCATGAAAACCAAGTCTAGTCTATAGTCTAGTCTATAGCCTAGTCTATAGTCTAGTCTATAGTCTAGTCTATAGTCTAGTCTATAGTCTAGTCTATAGTCTAGTCTATAGTCTAGTCTATAGTCTAGTCTATAGCCTAGTCCTATAGTCTAGTCTATAGTCTTAGTCTAGTCTATAGTCTAGTCTATAGTCCTAGTCTATAGCCTAGTCTAGTAGTCTAGTCTATAGTCTAGTCTATATCTAGTCTATAGTCTAGTCTATAGTCTAGTCTATAGTCTAGTCTATAGTCTAGTCTATAGTCTAGTCTATAGTCTAGTCTATAGTCTAGTCTATAGTCTAGTCTATAGTCTAGTCTATAGTCTAGTCTATGTCAGTCTATAGTCCTAGTCTATAGTCTAGTCTATAGTCTAGTCTATAGTCTAGTCTATAGTCTAGTCTATAGTCTAGTCTATAGTCTAGTCTATAGTCTAGTCTATAGTCTAGTCTATAGTCTAGTCTATAGTCTAGTCTATAGTCTAGTCTATAGTCTAGTCTATAGTCTAGTCTATAGTCTAGTCTATAGTCTAGTCTATAGTCTAGTCTATAGTCTAGTCTATAGTCTAGTCTATAGTCTAGTCTATAGTCTAGTCTATAGTCTAGTCTATAGGTCTAGTCTATAGTCTAGTCTATAGTCTAGTCTATAGTCTAGTCTATAGTCTAGTCTATAGTCTAGTCCTATAGTCTAGTCTATAGTCCTAGTCTATAGTCTAGTCTATAGTCTAGTCTATAGTCTAGTCTATAGTCTAGTCTATAGTCTAGTCTATAAGTCTAGTCTATAGTCTAGTCTATAGTCTCTAGTCTATAGTCTAGTCTATAGTCTAGTCTATAGTCTAGTCTATAGTCTAGTCTATAGTCTAAGGCTATAGTCTAGTCTATAGTCTAGTCTATAGTCTAGTCTATAGTCTAGTCTATAGTCTAGTCTATAGTCTAGTCTATAGTCTAGTCTATAGTCTAGTCTATAGTCTAGTCTATAGTCTAGTCTATAGTCTAGTCTATAGTCTAGTCTATAGTCTAGTCTATAGTCTAGTCTATAGTCTATTCTATAGTCTAGTCTATAGTCTAGTCTAGTCTAGTCTATAGTCTAGTCTATAGTCTAGTCCTATAGTCTAGTCTTAGTCTATCTATGTCTAGTCTATAGTCCTAGTCTATTGTCTAGTCTATAGTCTAGTCTATAGTCTAGTCCTATAGTCTAGTCTATAGTCTAGTCTATAGTCTAGTCTATAGTCTAGTCTATAGTCTAGTCTATAGTCTAGTCTATAGTCTAGTCTATAGTCTAGTCTATAGTCTAGTCTATAGTCTAGTCTATAGTCTAGTCTATAGTCTAGTCTATAGTCTAGTCCTATAGTCTAGTCTATAGTCTAGTCTATAGTCTAGTCTATAGTCTAGTCTATAGTCTAGTCTATAGTCTAGTCTATAGTCTAGTCTATAGTCTAGTCTAGAACAACATCGACAGCTAAATTCCCAGACCTGAACATCTCATCGTCGATCGAGACTTTTCTATAAATTTAACTTTTCGAAAAGTTTAAATCTCATTCTTTTAAAATAAAAACCAACCTAAATGTTTTCAAGTCTTTTTTTTATTTCTTTATATTGTTCACATTTATTTGATCGTTAATATAATAACACTCATTGAAGTTTGTAAACAAACAATTTGTAAATACATATTCTTTATTGTTTGTTTACTTGTTTTGTTGCATTTCTTTTAACTATTTAATATAGAGTTTTTATTTATTTATTAAACTAGTATAATTTGATCAATACCATACTTGTTTAACTGCACAAAAAAAAAGGATTTATTTCATTTTGAAGTACATAATTAAAAAAAAGAAATAATAATTTACAAAAATATTCAATTGCCTTGAGTAAAAAATACTTAAAATGCAAATAAAAATATTTTCTGTTTTACGTTCACAATTTTTATTTAATTAATATGAAGATAAAAATTAATTTTTATAATTAAATTATATTATACTTGTTGCATACCAAATAATATTTAAGCAACAGACATTTAATTAAAATTTTATTTAAAATAACTTAAAACTAAGAGAAAATCTAATCATATAAACGGCAAATTTTGTATTTTGGGCAGAGGAATTAAAAAATAATTATAAAAAATAATAAATATTTACATTTAGATAACAAAATACAAAGCATGCATAACAGTATTTTATTTAAATACAATGATTTCTTTTTTTGGGGTGAATTCATGGGTAGGCTAAGATTTTCATATAAAAAAGAAAATTTTGTATCAAATCAATAATAAGACAGCTTTAGAAATTGTTTTAAAACATTTCAATACTAAAGTTGTTATTTTATCAATAAACAGCTGCCTTAATTTTAAACATTTAGTTTAGTTTTCGTACACAATTCTTAAATATAAAAAAATGTATAAAATGGGATGTGTAAAATGATTGATTTGTTTGTTTGCAAGACTCAATATAAATTCAAATATAAAATTTGTTATATTAAACCGATTTTATTTTTAAATAAGGACGGTTTTATTGTTCGTATTATAAGCTTCATTGTTCTAAAACAAAACCAATATTGTAGTGTTTAAGGATTTGTAAAAAAGTTTGGTTATAAAAATCAAATTTTCATTTTAGTGATGTCGTTTTTTTCGTAATTGTACTGTTTTAAAATCACATTTAAAATAACAGGTTTCTATTCAATTCAATTCAATTCATTCTATGTTTAAAATTGTCATAATACTTATTTTCTGTAGTGTGATTTAATTGGGAACTATGGAATGATTTGATGGGGGTTTCAAGTTGTTGTTGTTGTGTTGGATTATGTTGTTGCTGTTATATGTAGTTGTTGTTCGTATTTTGGGTTTAGCTTAGGAAGTAGTTTCTAATAAAACAGCAGCTGCAAGTTCTAAACTCCAGCCGGTTTTTGTAAAGCTTGTTCACATTGAGGACGATTAGCAAGACCAAGTCTGAAATAAAAGGAATAAGTGTAAAAGGTTAGTAAAAATTTTGAACAATATTTGTACAGGATAATATTAAATAAAGGATATTTTGAAATATAAAAGTTTAGAATACAAAGTTTGTCCATTTGACATACGATACTTTGCTTGAAACTGATCTGATTGTCTAGTCTATAGTCTAGTCTATAGTCTAGTCTATAGTCTAGTCTATAGCATAGTCTATAGTCTAGTCTATAGTCTAGTCTATAGTCTAGTCTATAGTCTAGTCTATAGTCTAGTCTATAGTCTAGTCTATAGTCTAGTCTATAGTCTAGTCTATAGTCTAGTCTATAGTCTAGTCTATAGTCTAGTCTATAGTCTAGTCTATAGTCTAGTCTATAGTCTAGTATATAGTCTAGTCTATAGTCTAGTCTATAGTCTAGTATATAGTCTAGTCTATAGTCTAGTCTATAGTCTAGTCTATAGTCTAGTCTATAGTCTAGTATATAGTCTAGTCTATAGTCTAGTCTATAGTCTAGTCTATAGTCTAGTCTATAGTCTAGTCTATAGTCTAGTCTATAGTCTAGTCTATAGTCTAGTCTATAGTCTAGTCTATAGTCTAGTCTATAGTCTAGTCTATAGTCTAGTCTATAGTCTAGTCTATAGTCTAGTCTATAGTCTAGTCTATAGTCTAGTCTATAGTCTAGTCTATAGTCTAGTCTATAGTCTAGTCTATAGTCTAGTCTAGTCTATAGTCTAGTCTAGTCTATAGTCTAGTCTAGTCTATAGTCTAGTCTAGTCTATAGTCTAGTCTAGTCTATAGTCTAGTCTAGTCTATAGTCTAGTCTAGTCTAGTCTATAGTCTAGTCTAGTCTAGTCTAGTCTAGTCTAGTCTAGTCTATAGTCTAGTCTAGTCTATAGTCTAGTCTAGTCTAGTCTATAGTCTAGTCTAGTCTAGTCTAGTCTAGTCTAGTCTAGTCTAGTCTAGTCTAGTCTATAGTCTAGTCTATAGTCTATAGTCTAGTCCATAGTCTAGTCTATAGTCTAGTCTATAGTCTAGTCTATAGTCTAGTCTATAGTCTAGTCTATAGTCTAGTCTATAGTCTAGTCTATAGTCTAGTCTATAGTCTAGTCTATAGTCTAGTCTATAGTCTAGTCTATAGTCTAGTCTATAGTCTAGTCTATAGTCTAGTCTATAGTCTAATCTATAGTCTAGTCTATAGTCTAGTCTATAGTCTAGTCTATAGTCTAGTCTATAGTCTAGTCTATAGTCTAGTCTATAGTCTAGTCTATAGTCTAGTCTATAGTCTAGTCTATAGTCTAGTCTATAGTCTAGTCTATAGTCTAGTCTATAGTCTAGTCTATAGTCTAGTCTATAGTCTAGTCTATAGTCTAGTCTATAGTCTAGTCTATAGTCTAGTCTATAGTCTAGTCTATAGTCTAGTCTATAGTCTAGTCTATAGTCTAGTCTATAGTCTAGTCTATAGTCTAGTCTATAGTCTAGTCTATAGTCTAGTCTATAGTCTAGTCTATAGTCTAGTCTATAGTCTAGTCTATAGTCTAGTCTATAGTCTAGTCTATAGTACTAGTCTATAGTCCTAGTCTATAGTCTAGTCCTATAGTCTAGTCCTATATCTAGTCTAATAGTCTAGTCCTATAGTCCTAGTCTATAGTCTAGTCGATAGTCTAGTCTATAGTCTAGTCTATAGTCTAGTCTATAAGTCCTAGTCTAATAGTCTAGTCTATAGTCTAGTCTATGTCTAAGTCTAGAGTCCTGAGTCTATCAGTCTAGTCTATAGTCTAGTCTATAGGTCTATGTCTATAGTCCTAGTCCTATAGTCTAGTCTATGATCTAGTCTATAGTCCTAGTCTATAGTCTAGTCTATAGTCTAGTCTATAGTCGAGTCTATAGTCTAGTCTATAGTCTAGTCTATAGTCTAGTCTATAGTCTAGTCTATAGTCTAGTCTATAGTCTAGTCTATAGTCTAGTCTATAGTCTAGTCTATAGTCTAGTCTATAGTCTAGTCTAAGTAGTCTATCTATAGTCTAGTCTCTAGTCCTAGTCCGATAGTCTAGTCTAAGTCGAGTCTATAGTCTAGTCATAGTCTAGTCATGTATAGTCTATAGTCAGTCTATAGTCTAGTCTATAGTCTTCTATAGTCTAGTCTATAGTCTAGTCTATAGTCTAGTCTATAGTCTAGTCTATAGTCTAGTATATAGTCTAGTCTATAGTCTAGTCTATAGTCTAGTCTATAGTCTAGTATAGTCTAGTCTATAGTCTAGTCTATAGTCTAGTCTATAGTCTAGTCTATAGTCTAGTCTATAGTCTAGTCTATAGTATAGTCTATAGACTAGTCTATAGTCTAGTCTATAGTCTAGTCTATAGTCTAGTCTATAGTCTAGTCTATAGTCTAGTCTATAGTCTAGTCTATAGTCTAGTCTATAGTCTAGTCTATAGTCTAGTCTATAGTCTAGTCTATAGTCTAGTCTATAGTCTAGTCTATAGTCTAGTCTATAGTCTAGTCTATAGTCTAGTCTATAGTCTAGTCTATAGTCTAGTCTATAGTCTAGTCTATAGTCTAGTCTATAGTCTAGTCTATAGTCTAGTCTATAGTCTAGTCTATAGTCTAGTCTATAGTCTAGTCTATAGTCTAGTCTATAGTCTAGTCTATAGTCTAGTCTATAGTCTAGTCTATAGTCTATAGTCTATAGTCTATAGTCCTAGTCTATAGTCTAGATCTATAGTTCTAGTCTATCTAGTCTAGTCGAGTCTATAGTCTAGTCTAGTCTAGTCCTATGTCTAGTAGTCTAGTCTCTAGTCTAGTCTATAGTCCTAGTCTATAGTCCTAGTCTAAGTCTAGTCTATAGTATATAGTCTATAGGCGAGTCTATATTCTAGTCTATAGTCTATCACCGTATAGTCTATAGTCTAGTCTATAGTCTAGTCCTATAGTCTAGTCTATAGTCTAGTCTATAGTCTATTCTATAGTCTATTCTATAGTCTAGTCTGTAGTTTAGTCTATAGTCCAGTCTAGAGTCTAGTCTATAGTCTAGTCTAAAGTCTAGTCTATAGTCTAGTCGATAATCTAGTCTATAGTCTAGGCTAGTCTAGTATATAGTCTAGTCTAGTCTATAGTCTAGTCTATAGTTCTAGTCTATAGTCTAGTCTATAGTCTAGTCTATAGTCTAGTCTAGTCTAGTCTAGTCTAGTCTAGTCTATAGTTCCTAGTCTATAGTCTAGTCTAGTCTATAGTCTAGTCTATAGTCTAGTCTATAATCTAGTCTATAGTCTAGTCTGTAGTCTAGAAGTGGTCAATAGGTTATCAAACAAAAAGAAGCAAAATAGGAAATCCAAAATATATATCCCAACCTTAATCGTAAAAATAATATAATTCTTCCTCTTCATCTCATCTTAACTCACCTTGATAATTGATCAATTTTATAGTGTCTTATAGCTAAATTCGTATCACCACTGGCAGCTCTTAAAGCATTTCGTACATCGATTTCTTGAGTATTTGGTCCTAAATCCTGCATCATCTGTTGTATTTTCTGATGTTCTCTCTCATAGTCCGAAGGCGGCGGGGCATACAACGAACTGCTGCCTTCCATTTGTGACTCCTGCTGTTTCTTTAGTTTCTCCAGACGTCTTTGTATCTGTTGGGCAGATAGCTGAGGCGGAGCTAAGGGAGCAGGACGATGTGGCCGTAGATAATCATCTAAAGTTACCTCATCATAAATAGCCGGTTGTGTTGGATTATTAGCTGTGCCATTGGAATAGCTTTGGCCATTACTGTTGGAGATATGACTTAAAGGTATTTGCCCATAGTAGGTGGAGGGTGTAGGTGCAACCGTATCATACATATTATGTCCTGTTACACTGCCATAGATAGAAGCCGCAGAGGCATATACTTGATTGGCGGTTTTGGGAGCCACTACACGATTGGATATGGCTACAAAACTATGATTAGTTTCATTAGCGGAAGTGGCTGTGGCAACAGGTGTGGCCTGATAGATGCCTTGATTAGAGTAGATATTTTCTAAAGCTGGTTGGGCATAGTATTCCGATTGATTAGCTACCCTTTCATACCATATACGATTGACCACACTTTGAGTATTATTGGCGGAAGCGTTTTCTAAATTATTGGGTTTTTGGCCTATAGTATCGCTTGGTGCAGCACCATATATGCTATTACGATTCTCTAAGACATTGTAATGCCCAGCCTGCCTTTCAATATTGTGCATTTTTGGTGAAGCTCCATTTATGGAAGAGGGACTGGAGTGATTTGAGTGACTGGCTGCTGCTGAATTTTTAAGGGGTGTTAGATTTTGTTTAAATACTGCCTCCTTGTTGGTATACATTTGCGAAGAATTGCGTTCATAATCCTTTTGTCCTTCATTCGTATACATATCCTTTTCCAATTCAGCTATAAAGCTTTTATCCAAAACTACTTGTTCGTTAGTGCTTGCTGCGGCTGGTGTAGTGGTTGTTTGTTTTTCCAACGAAAGTGTACTTAAGTTTCTTTGCAATGCCGAATCTTCTGCAGCTGATATTGTTGACGTTTGTATTTTTGTGGTTTCATATTGTCTAAGAGTTGTTAAGTTGTGGCTAGCTGTTTCTGTAGGCATTTGTGGTATGTTTTCTTTGTTGCCCGCCAATGATAAGTTGGAAGCTGTGGTGGCTGTAGCCGTGCCAGCACCAAATAGACTTTTACGTGCTGCAGGACTGTTAAAATTAGAATTTTGTAAGGAAGTATTTCTGCAGAGAGAAAAAGGAATTAATTTAAACTTATAATTATTTGAAATTGCAGGAAACATACCTTAGGGGAGTATCTTGTTGCTGTGTTTTTATCACATTCGAGTATAAAGCATTAATATCGTCATTGGATGTGTTGGTGTTGTTAGCGCCATTGAAACTTATTCTACTGGTATCAAAGGGATCTCTTGCTGGCGTTTGCTGTTGACTAAATTCCATTGTATTCGAGTATGTGGGTGGCATTTGATAAGGAGGTGGATGCGGACGTGAAGGCGAAGCACCAAATTCAAAATTATTAAGAGTTGTAGGAGTTGGAGGCATAATACTGGGGTTGGAAGCCTCATTGTCCAAATAGTCCTCTCCTTCGGTAGGCACATCTATAGGAGCATCGAGTATGCAAAAAGTGCTATCAACATGCATTGAAGAACTTTCACCCAAGTGCAGTAAGGAGGAGTTTTGTGTGGAGGAAGAAGGACCACTAACACCACCACCACCAAATTCTGGGGATATATCAATTAGTATACCTTCTTGTTGCTGCTGCAGTTGAGGTGGTGGGGGCCTTTGTGGTCCTTTATTTTTGCCACTTTTATTTTTCCCACTGCCACCAGCAGACTGCATAGATTGATGGCGCTGCAATTCAACCGCCCTCTCGTTTACCAGCTTATTATAGGAGAATTGTTTGTTAACAATAGATTTACGTTCTTTAGCGTGATGCAACTGCTGCATGGATTGAGCCTGCAGAGAAGCTGTTTTACGTGCTCTCTCAGCATGCATTTCACTACTGCTAGTGGCCATGGTGCCAGCTCCGCCCCAACAGAAACCAAATGGAGAACCCGAATGACCGGTAGCTCTAAGGTTTTCATGCATTGGTCGTATGAGGTCACTGTTGGTTTGTTTGGTTTTCTCCAAAATTTGACGCGGAAAGATGCCGATATCGAAGGTTCTTTGGTTTTGTCCCTTAATCAATTTAAGTTCGGGTCTACCATCAATAATGGCGATGGTATCACCAGCCTCTATTTGTAAACGATTTGCTTCATTAAAAGTTTTGGCTGCCTTGACCACTTGTGGTGATACGCCCACCAAAAACTCTCTTTACAGGAAAAGAAAAAAACACACAATTAGTTTTTATGCTAACTTCCCCTATAAACCCCCCAAAAACTTACTTTATAGCAGCAAAAGTAGGCCGTTCAGCTGGTGTCTTATCCCAACATTGTAACATCATTTCATATACATCTGGCGGACAAGCCTCCGGATGATGTAAACGTTCACCTTCCCTATCGATTTTACGCAAAATTTGCGAACCATTTAAACCCACCCAAGGATCTTCACCAAAGGTAAACATTTCCCATAAAGTAACACCAAACATCCAGGTATCGGAGGCATGAGAAAATTGTCTAAAGCGCAACGATTCCGGAGCACACCAGGGAAAAGGAACTTTTTTATGTTCAGACATAACATAACAGTCATCTTCTTGAGGTAGAGCTCTCATCAAACCAAAATCACCAATTTTGATTTTATTTCCTGAAGCCAACAACACGTTACGACAGGCCAAATCACGATGTAAAAATCTCTTTTGTTCCAAATAGGCCATGCCAGTGGCAATTTGTACCGACCAATTCCAAATTGTAGTTAAAGGAGTATGTTTGCACTGTTTGCGCAAAGTGTCGAGTAGGGAACCGCGTTCGGCCAATTCCGTTATCATCATCATGGGTTGGGATAGCACCACACCGTATAAACGCACCAAATTTGAATGATCTAAGGCATGCATAGCCTGCACCTCACGAAAAAAGTCCTCTATAATGCCGGGTTGTGTAAGATTATCCGCTTTAAGAACCTTTAAAAGTAAATCATAATCATATTAAATTACTTAAACACCCAAGAAGATAAAGAAACCTACCTTCACCGCCACCGGCAAATGTTTGCCATTGGGCGCCGTTAACCATTCTCCCCGGCGCACTACACCAAACGAACCATCACCCAGTTTATTGCCCAGCGTTATATCCTTCTCATGTATTAGGCAGGTTAATTGAGTATTCTGTTGTTTATCTTTATTTGTGGCATTTGAGGATTTTTTCGACGATGGCTGTTTACCGCCACCTATCAATTTCGATAGAATATTTTTACGCCATTGTTGGGCTTTTTTCTTGCGTACCGCTTCCATTAAACGTCTTATGGCCGGTTTACCCAGACCACAACGTTCCAAATCTTCGGCTTGTACATAATCGAAATGTGCCAGACGTGTGACTTGTAAATCATCGCGTATACGTTCTAGGAACTGTTCTAGTTGAACTTCTTTAAGGAGATCTTCCAGCCATTCGGTATCGGTGACACCTTCCATATGACTAGACGATGTCATATTGATGTGTGATTAGAAAAGTGATTGAATTTATAAAAAACGAAGTATCTGAAAAAGAAGAAAATAAATGATAAGTATTGATACTTAGAAGAAGTCGTTGTAACAGTTGTACCTATCATGAAGAAAAACTAGAACTATAATCAGAAGACTATAGAAAATGCGAAAGGTAGAGAGGAGAAGGAAAAGTAAAACTTTAGAATATTCAGAGGACATTGAAATATCAGAACTTTGAACTATAGTTATTAGAACTGGGGAAATATTTGTTAATAGGGGATAACACAGGCCATCAAATGTTTGACCCAGAAGCTATAGGTTATATTGAGCTTCGCTGAATCTGAAGCTAGCCTTCAAAACTTTTAAAGATGTCAAAGAGTGAACAAAAGAGATATGATTAAGAAAGGATCAAATTTATGAAATTAATAAAGACATTAAAATTTCTTTAACATTTAACACTCAACTTAACTCCCATTAACCGGTAGACATCCGATGACTTCATCTATAAAACAAAATCGTTTCTTAGGATAAACAACCTCAAATCGTACAATTCTGATTACAACTTAAATAATTTAACAAAAAGTTCATTAACTTATAAAATTTTAAAGAGTAGTAAAACATTTTCAAATCAATGCATATTTCTCTTTTATTAAAAAAAATCGATTCTCTCTTTATAAACAAATTAAATATAAATATTTCAATGTCATTGAATATACAACAAAAGCCCCGCGTTCCATTAAAGCCACTTAGCTTGACACACAAAACAAAATAAAATAAAAAATCAAAACAAAATACAAAAGTAAACACAAAAAAATTTCACAAAAACAAAAACCAAAATAACAAAATTGTTAAAATGAAGATGATCAAAAAATAAATTTAATAAACAAAAGGCGTATGCAAAACACTTTGTTTATTAATTAAATAAAAAATATCGAATACTTTATGAATATATTTAAGGGTATGTGTAGTAATACATTAGTAGTAAAGTATTATGTGAATTTCTTTATCAAAAAAGGTATTCCCGAATATCAAATTTCGGTCATTAAATGTGAGTTTGATTTTTAAACAAAATTTTGCCAAATTGCTGGTCATACATTTTTTTTAATATATATATATATTTTTTTTTTTTTTTGGTTTTTTCTACTTATTATTATCAGTTTATTAAGCTTTTTAAATCACCAAATCACTCACAAAAAAGTTACGTGAATTTTCAATAAATGGGCACAAGGGGTACTATAACGGGGAATCACTTATAAGGTACGACTATATTGGTGCAATTGTATCATTCTCAGGCATGGAATTTGGAAATAGTAATTTTTATCACAATAACTACTTTTTTTTGCGGATTACGTTGAATGTTCTTATGAAACTTTCTATAAACTATAGGTCCTAGTCTAGAGTCTGTCCTATAGTTTCTAGTCTATAGTCTAGGTCTATAGTCTAGTCATAGTCTAGTCTATTGTCTATTCTATAGTCTAGTCTATAGTCTAGTCTATAGTCCTAGTCTATAGTCTAGTCTATAGTCTAGTCTATAGCCTAGTCTATCTGTCTATAGTCTAGTCTCTAGTCTAGTCTATAGTCTAGTCTATAGTCTAGTCTATAGTCTAGTCTATAGTCTAGCTCTATAGTCTAGTCTATAGGCAGTCTAGTCTATTCATAGTCTAGTCTATAGTCTAGTCTATAGTCTAGTCTATAGTCTAGTCTAGTCTAGTCTAGTCTATAGTCTAGTCTATAGAGTCTATAGTCTAGTCTATAGTCTAGTCTATAGTCTAGTCTATAGTCTAGTCTATAGTCTAGTCTATAGTCTAGTCTATAGTCTATAGTCTAGTCTATAGTCTAGTCTATAGTCTAGTCTATAGTCTAGTCTATAGTCTAGTCTATAGTCTAGTCTATAGTCTAGTCTATAGTCTAGTCTATAGTCTAGTCTATAGTCTAGTCTATAGTCTAGTCTATAGTCTAGTCTATAGTCTATTCTATAGTCTAGTCTATAGTCTAGTCTATAGTCTAGTCTATAGTCTAGTCTATAGTCTAGTCTATAGTCTAGTCTATAGTCTAGTCTATAGTCTAGTCTATAGTCTAGTCTATAGTCTAGTCTATAGTCTAGTCTATAGTCTAGTCTATAGTCTAGTCTATAGTCTAGTCTATAGTCTAGTCTATAGTCTAGTCTATAGTCTAGTCTATAGTCTAGTCATAGTCTAGTCTATAGTCTAGTCTCTAGTCTAGTCTTAGTCTAGTATAGTCTAGTCTATAGTCTAGTCTATAGTCTAGTCTATAGTCTAGTCTATAGTCTATCTATAGTCTAGTCTATAAGTCTAGTCTATAGTCTAGTCTATAGTCTAGTCTATAGTCTAGTCTATAGTCTATCTATAGTCTAGTCTATAGTCTAGTCTATAGTCTAGTCTATAGTCTAGTCTATAGTCTAGTCTATAGTCTAGTCTATAGTCTAGTCTATAGTCTAGTCTTAGTTAGTCTATCGTCTAGTCTATAGTCTAGTCTATAGTTAGTCTATAGTCTAGTCTATAGTCTAGTCTATAGTCTAGTCTATAGTCTAGTCTATAGTCTAGTCTATAGTCTAGTCTATAGTCTAGTCTATAGTCTAGTCTATAGTCTAGTCTATAGTCTAGTCTTAGTCTAGTCTATAGTTAGTCTATAGTCTAGTCTATAGTCTAGTCTATAGTCTAGTCTATAGTCTAGTCTATAGTCTAGTCTATAGTCTAGTCTATAGTCTAGTCTATAGTCTAGTCTATAGTCTAGTCTATAGTCTAGTCTATAGTCTAGTCTATAGTCTAGTCTATAGTCTAGTCTATAGTCTAGTCTATAGTCCTAGTCCCTATAGTCTAGTCTATAGTCTAGTCTCTATAGTAGTCTAGTCTATAGTCTAGTCTATAGTCTAGTCTATAGTCTAGTCTATAGTCTAGTCTAGTCTATCTAGTCTAATAGTATAGTCTTAGGTCTATTTAGTCTAGTCTTTAGTCTAGTTTGGTAGTCTATAGTCTAGTATATACATAGTTTTCCGATTTAACGACCATTCAATTCTACGAACATCGCATTTAACGAACAAGCTAATTTTTCCTATTGACTACCTTAAATAACGAACAAAACTTGTTTTTTTACTCTGTTTAACGAACTAATAAAATATTATTATTTAAATAAAGATAAAATGACATTTATCAAAAATAACAAATAACCTAAGTTGTAGCGGTGCTTTTATACCCAAAACTGTAACACATTCTGGGTTCTTATTAAATTTTAGTTCGATGTAGCTATGTCCGTCCGTCCTTCAGATAATGACTTTAACGCTCATTACTCGCTTAACAATACGAGTACGCCGATGAAATTCGATTCAAACATGTTCTATACTAACTGAAATCTCTAACAAATTTTATGGGAATCGGTCCATAATTGACCTTACCCTCCATATCAGGCCCCCTTAAGAAAATTACTTCAACGCTCATTACTCGCTTAAAAATACGAGTATAGCGATGAACTTCGAGAAATAACTTTAAGGCTCATGACTGAACTAAAAATACAGCGATGAAATTCGACACAAATATGGTTTGAAAGTGGGTATATAAGATTCGGAATTTTGTGTTTTGTGCTATTTTTATAAAAAAAAGAATTAATTTTTATAAAATACATTTAAAAAATATTTTATGTACCTATTTTTTTTAATTAATTTCCTACCAAAAGCCCACGTTTTAGTTAGTACTGCATATAACGAACTTTTCAATTTTACGAACAGGCCTGACAACATATGGGTTCGTTAAATCGGAAAACTACTGTAGTCTAGTCCACAGAATATTTATAATATAATAAATTCCCGTGCGGGTAATGCGGTATTTTTTGATATCAAAAAGTGCAATAGTACATAATTTCCCATGCCTGATCTTTCTACTTGTTTACAATAAATGTAAACGAATTATTTAACAAATGCATTGTTGTTAAGCAAGAGTTTTTTTTTTACAATATTGAAAGAAGAGGCGAGTGCCAGAGTCGTATAAAAAAAGAGGAAGTTAAACATTTTATAAAATTATAACAACAATACGATGGTTATAATAATGATAAAGCGTGTACAAATATTTATATATTCAGTTCTATAACAAAATTTTGTTTGTTATCTTTATGATTTAATAAATACTACGAACAAAACGAACACTTGTGTTCAAATAATTATGATAAGAAAATTTATTAATGAAAATGTATATATTTTGAAAAAATACATAAGAGAAATTTCATATTTGTAAAAGTACATTTTGTAACAAGTTTTAAAACTTTAAATAAATTTACAATTTAAACTTTTTTGCAAAATATTGTATATATGTCTATGTATGTAAATAAGTTAAGGGTTTTGTTGGGTGTTTTCAAAAAGTGTAAAAGTAACATAGAAAGTTACACACACTTTTTAAGCAATTAACTTTCTAACAAAAATATTAAATTTGGTTAATTTCGACCTTGAATATTTTCCATACAAATATAGCGTTAGCATAGTGTACATAATTGCCAAGTTTAAAATAATAATACTGTTCCAATCAGTGTTCCTGAGTAATGTAGTTTCTGGAATAACATCGCTGTCAAGATATTTGAATCTAATTTCGATAAAAGCTTGGCTATGAGAGCTTGGCTCCAAAGAATGTGCACCTTTTATGGTACATAACCCTTCATAACCTAAACTAATCTAAGTTTAACTCGCTCAGACAATCTCCTAAATGTTCTATATAAACATTTAAGAATCGAGGTAGTAGAACTTGTTTTTTGACAATATTTACGCAATGTTAGTTTACTATGAAGTGCGAATAGAGTTTAATCGACCTTTTTATTTACATTAACTTTAAATACTTCCATAATAGTTCCCACAAAGAATTTCATTGTTGTCTCAAGTCAATTGAAATTTTGACCTAAAGTTAAAATAAAAATTTCACACAACATTTTTATAACTTTAAATGAATATGTAAGATCATTTTATACTTCTTTTTTTGCATGTTTTGTTATAAACTTACAAAACTGTTGGATTATGAAATATTCTGAAAATTTCATAGATATTATACACATATACAATTCAAAGAAATAGACAAATCTTTTTTTTTAACAATCAAACCCCTAGAACAGTCTGCTGCTTACTGTCAATTCACATATGTGAGTTTTTCTTCATATTAAAACAAATAGAAAAACAAAATGAAAGAATAATTGTAAAAACTTTACAATTAAATTAACAAAAAAAAGTACAGAAACAAAGAAGAAACTCTAGCCACTGCTAAATAAGCTATTTAAGCCAACTAATAGAACTTGGTTGAAATTTCCACATGATAAATTTTTGTCTGTGTTTAAGTATTTTCTGCTAAACAATATATTTTTATTGGGTACGAGCTCTGCTAAACATATACATAGCGAGGATTAATAAATAATTAAATTAAATGATAAATTATACCGATATGTAGTTTATAACAGAAATATCAGATTTTTGAACGATTTAAAAAAGGGGAATTTTCGGAAAACAGATGTAAATTACAAATGTTCAAGTTTGCATATTTGCTACTATTGCAAATTTACTACCATAAGTTTCCTCAAATCCAGTAAATTACAGTTTCATATATGGTCTTGCAAAATATAGCTTTATTGCTAGACTTGTAGTAGTTTACTACATTAGTATTTAAATCATAAATCGTATCGTTAGACTTTTACATTTGCTCAGTTTTATTTGCTACAACTGTTACATTTGAAGTGATAGTTTACTACTATCTTATTTCTATCTTTCTAATTTTTCTTATGTTCAAATTTATTTAATAATTCAATCATTATTCATAGTTTATCAGATTCAAAGAACTTATCGTTAGACCTACTTATGGTATAAATGCAACAGAAAAACACGTAGCATAACATTGAGTGCAGCAACTGAGCAATGTCATCGCCATCATTCCGAGTACTAAACATATGTAAGTACAATTATAGCAAACATATATTGCTATATACGATGGTTGTTCAAAAAAATCTAGATCACACTTTACGTACGACAAGTCCAATGAAAAAGTAACATGAAATTCCATCCGTATGACAAAAAGAGAATAAAAGTAGTATGATTTATATTTTTTTGTGTTTACACGATTGGTATAAAACAATAACAGAGTAAGATGGAAACAGCTGTTTCTGTTTTGCGTTTAGACGATCCCATCCGTTCTCCTTCACAAAATTTTGACAGATCATATTACTTGTGTGCTCGTGTGAAGGGTGCTAAGAAGATCAAGCTTA